TCTTCTTCTTCTTCTTCTTCTTCTTCTTCTTCTTCTTCTTCTTCTTCCTCTTCTTCTTCCTCCTCCTCCTCCTTCTCCCCTTCCCCTTCCAATTATTATTATTGTTGTTGTTGTTGTTGTTGTTATATTACCATGATTGCACAAATCATAGCTTAGCACAAAAAGTGGCTCAGACCAATATAGCTTTCATTACATTTACAATAACAGGATAGTCTATGTGGTGAGCTATATTTTGTATGGTCTGGAAGAATGTTTTAAATGACATAATGGACTACTGTTTATCATTATACACAGCCCTATATAAGTTTATGGGGGAGTAATGGCTCAGCAGTTAAAGATGCTGAATTTGTCAGCTGGAGAGCTGGCAGCCCGGGTTTGAGACCCGAGAGCCGCACAATGGGGTGAGCTCTTGTAATTTGCCCCAGCTCCTGCACACCTAGCAGCTTGAAAACATGCAAATGCAAGTAGATTAATAGGTACCACTTCAGTGAAGGTAACAGCATTCTTTGCACCTTTGCTGGTCACATGACCATGGAAATTGTCTTCAAGCAACACTGGCTCCCTCAACCAGGAAACGGAATTGAGCACTGTATCCTAGAGTCAGACATGACTGACAGGGAAACCTTTACATTTTATATAAGTCTTCTAAGAAAAATGTCCCACTATATATGTTTACTCCATTTCAGGTAAAGAAATGTAGGGTAGCAGCTATATAGCCTTTTTATCAAAAATGATATTAGTGGAGTTTGAGAGACTGCTGGATTAAATAAATGTATTTAGGTGTTAGCTTTACAGTGCAATGTTACATATGGAGTACTTAGAAGGGATTTAAATCAGACTTACTTTGAGCTTGTTCATTTAAGATTTCTATTTTAGGCTTTCAATGAAAATCATCATCATTACTATTATTGTAATAATTATATTGTATTGTATTACTTCTGTTACAATTACTGTTTTACTTTAATTCCTCATCTCCCCCCACAGGTAGCTAAGAAACAATACCATTAAAAAAATCACACAATTTAAAACAAAATGCAATAATTACAAACAACATTGCAACAAGATAATTCAAACCACTATTAATGAGGATTTAATGAGGCATTAATTTGTTTATGTGTAGATCATAGGCACAATTAAATGTAATAAGGGTATGTGGACTTCAACGATTGGAATATTTTAATCAGTAAAAATATAACAATCAAACACTGTTTTCTAAAAGTTGCTGATAAGAAAAAAATAATTTAAATGAGAAACTGAAAGACAGTTTTAAATCTTGGGAGTTAACTGCAAAATCTCTGATAGATGCTTAGCAGAATTGGTGACAAATAGCAGTTGTCTGTTACTATCAGAGCTGGGACTGTTTTAACTTTGTCTTTCAGGATATGAAATGGCAAAATTTTGCATGGTTTTCAAAAGTTTTCTTCTTAACAGAACAAAGAATAATGGAGTTGGAAGGGATCTTGGAGGTCTTCTAGTCCAACCCCCTGTTCAATCAGGAAACCCTATACCATTTTAGATAAATGTCTGAAGGCAAGCCATTCCACTGCTTAATTGTCCTTACTGTCAGGAAATTTCTTAAGCTGTATTTCATTAGAATAGAGCAAACCAGAAGAAACCAAAGTATGGAGTGCAAAATTATCTCATCCTTGACCATAATATAATTTAATATATCTCATATTTTAAAACAATCTATGTAGTATTGACCAGGAAGAAATTACTGTATGGATTGCTGCAATACAAACAAATTACACCCCTAAATGTGTAACATATTTTGAACTGCTAACAGTCTTGTAATTATATTAGATTAGGAAAATTATATGTGTAACAGCAATTTATATCAGATTATTAGAAAGAGTCTGTGTATGGGGAGAAAAACAGTACATGCAAACGAGTTAAGGAGAATTTATCTCCTGGCTGATAGAACAAAAAGGAAACTTACCATCTATCCATTTCTTTTACTCTAGTTTAAAGTAATATAGTGTCTATCAAGCTCTCTCACTTACAACGTTGAGTACTTTACTGATATAGTAAAGTATATACTGATATAGTAAAGTACTGTATATTGTGATATTTTTCCAACATATATTTTAAAGTTGAGTTCATTATGAATAACAGATTTGTTTGCTGTGATACACTCTATACATTATTTACATATATGTCTTTCTGTCTTTAAAAATAATACAGGGCAACTTGATATATAGCACTACCTCAATTAACATCTTACTATGCATGTCATATAAATCAGGGGTCGCAAACCTTTTGGACCTCAGGGACCACCAAACTCATAATTTTAAATCCTGCAGAACAGAGACCCTGGGAAAATCCAAAAAAAGTCTGCAGGAAAATCCCCTACCCAGTTTTCCTACCAATCACTATTTGGGATCGCAGGATACCGTCTCCAGCTCCATTCTCAAGGGGAGAGAGAGAGAGACTTTTGACTTCATGCAAGGAAAGCAGCAGAAACAGCAGAAGTCTTTCTTTCTCTCCCCCAAACTCTGCCAGAAATTAGTCTTTGCCAGTGCAGCCTCTTGGAGCAGGATGCCTTACAGGGTTCCAAAGATTCATTTCTGGTGGAGTTTGGGGGAGAGAAGGAAAGACTTTTGCTGCTTTCCTTGTGTGCAGCCAAAAGAAGAAGAAGAAAGAAGCAGAAAGAAGCATACCGGTGGCCAGGCTAGGCGCGTGGGGCAATTGGAGCAAGTTCCCCCCCTGCCCTCACCCCCCTCCCTTCACTACCTTGTGTTGTTCACAATGCAAGCAACACAAGCCTTGTGTTCCCATGGGCCATGTGGGCAGCACAGCCTTGTGTTCCCACGCAGCCTGGATTAATTGCTTTGGGGGTGCTTTGGTGGTGACATTTCTCTGTGGACCACCAAAATTTTCTCACGGACCACCAGTGGTCCCTGGCCCACTGGTTGGCGACCACTGATATAAATATGCCAGCACATGGTTTGTTTTGAATGAAAGTAAAGATGCAACAAATAATGGGAAAGAATATAAGATATTATTTTAGGGAAGGGAAGCAATATTTAATCACTGGAATTTAATTTATTCATCTTACCAGATTGACACTGAAGCCCGAAGAAACCAAATGGGCAAGCACATATATTTGGGCGAATACAGGTCCCACCATTTAGGCAAATGGGTTTGCAAATGACTGTCCCAATAAAAAACAAAAATAAAAACTTAGTTTCGGTAAGGAGGAAAATATCAAATTCTTCCTTGCTCTCTCACTTTATTTTTTTATTAGGAACACAGAATGATTCTGTTTTAAACAATGGCTCAGTGAGCAATGAGGCATTTTGTCTCCTAGAATCACAGTACGGTTTTGTTTAATATCTGTTTTGCAATCTTTTTCTCCAGGTGCATTTCAATTGTGAGGCACTTTCAGACAAATTTTTTCTCTGCATTTTCTCTCTCTTTCTCTGTCCATTATAGAAGCAGTAACACTTTTTCAATTTGTTGTAAAAGTGATGATATTGAAGTCCATTATACATTGGCCACTATTTACTGGTTTATAGCATGAAGTATATGCCTCGTATTTTACCAATGCTGTAAAAATGAGGCTTCAGTCAAATCTATAAATAATATAAAGTGGCATTTATGTACAAAATATCATCCATGTTGCCTTGTTTTGAATAAGACACAACAGCTTAAGAAAAATGGGAGTTACTTCGTTAGTTTGAAGATAAAATTAATCAAATTATAAATATATATATCTCAATGTTTATTCAATGTTTATTTAGTGATCTGAGCAAATCTATAAAGTATATTAATTTGTATGAATTATACAATTAGACATGAATACCTTTATGATACCTATATGCATATTTCTGTGTTTGTATATTAGTCAATTTTACTTTCAGTAAAAACTAACTGAAGCTAAATGCCATGAGTGCTATTAGTATTTAAGAACATTAATGCAAATAAGTCCTTATTTGACCTTGATGTACAAACTGCTACACATTCAATTTTTAAGGGTTATTCATATAAACTGACAAAAACAACCTAAAACGTGTATACAATAAATACAATAAACCTTTTACTTCACTCAGCATTCAGCTTTTATTACATTTTTGTTGAATAATGTAGCCAATTAAAAAAGCAACTTGTACGATTCTGTTTTCTTTGAATCTAGTAATTAAGAAAGCTGTCCCCCCCCCCCCAGTAAACATATGGTCAAAAAAAGAGGACAGAAATAATATTAACAGTAAGAATCCTTACAGGGGTACCCTGACCATATTCAGATCCCCCCCTTTTTTTGTATTAATCAGAACGTGAAATATTGAATACATCTGATGCCATGATGCCAACCTGAGATTTATGAAGACAGTACATTATATTATAGCCAATTAGATTGTTAATAATTCAGAAAAGTGGTCCCAACAGGAAGCAGGAGAGTTTATTGAATCACTGCTTAGATGTTGTTTGTGGTTTGCGTGCTTGGCTTCCTTGGTGCACTTCAACTTGTGTAAGAACTTGCTCTGCATCAGTTTTTGCCAGATCCTAACTCTGATTCCACTTATTTCGCCCCTGACTTTGGTAAAAATGCAGAACCTGGACTCTTTAAGCCCCCCAATGGCCACTGCAGCATGCTACTATGCCAAAGGGGAAAAGCAATTTTTTTCAATTCATAAATGGTGTTAATGAAAGTGAAATGGAATGAAATCAGATTTAGCATTAAAGTGTAGCTTCCACTGAGACCAAGTGCAGTTTGTAGGTTAAAAGAACCCACACTTCTTCATTTATAGTGATTTTCAGATATCTGGAACCCCCACCCCATATTTGCCAACATTATCTGGGAGTGCTAATTACAGTTCACAAAAATCTTCAAAGCATGTGCTTTTCTACTTACGATCCTTCCTTAAGAGTTGGATTCTATATTTCAGGAAGTATAAATCCAATAAGTCATAGGTTTTTAGCTAAAATTATATGTTTGATTTTCATTTGTTTCTACATTAAAACTGTTAAAATTCTGATCTTTGATCAAATCTTTGATCATATTATAAACCATTTTCCCTTCTGTCATATTACAACTTAGTAGGAATGTTTGAAGGTCCCCAATAGAAGCTTCAGAGGCCCCATGCAGCCCCAAGATTGAATCTTCACTTTGGCTTGACATTTGGCTGTTGGTGAAAAACACGGAAAGTAGACTAAGAAAAGTCTATTCCACCAGAAATGTGTACCACACCATTTTTTTCATAATCAAAAGAAAATGCAATGTTTTCAGAATGGTCTAACGGACCACTGCACTGAATGTATGGAAATCACAAGTAGATCCAAACATGTGGGCAAAGAGTGCAGATAATGGATGTTAGAATGCTGTATCTTGTGGAAATTGCCCGTACCATAATTAATATATATAAATGTCAAATGTAGGAGCACAGTGGCTCACGTGGTTAGGCTGGGTTGACAATTTGCAAGCCTGCATTTGAAGCCTGAGTGCTGCTGTGTGACAAGGTGAGCTCCTGTCATTCGCTCCAGCTCCTGCCAACCTAACAGTTCTAAAGCATGTAAAGGTAATTAGATAAATAGGTACCACTTTGTGGGGGGGTTCACTAATGAAAGGAGCCCCCAGGTAATGATGATGTCACTGGTTAATCCTTTCATCACAGAAGCACTTTAGTGCTTCCGACACAGGGTAATAGTATAATATAATGCCAAATATTATCTTGTTTAGTCTTAAAAACAAATTAGGCACCTACAAACAGGGTGTCAGCTTTGGAACGCTGACACAGGGGACAAAATTCAGTCCTCTACAAACGAGGACTTACTTGTATCTGGGATGATGGTTATGGGTGTAGCTATATTATCTATCTATCTATCTATCTATCTATCTATCTATCTATCTATCTATCTATCTATCTATCTACCTACCTACCTACCTACCTACCTACCTATCTACCCATCTATCTATTATCTAGCTAGCTAGCTTTCTAGCTATCTATCATCTATCTATTAAATATAGGCACCATCTACCTTCTTCACAGAAAGAGACTCTGAGCGGTGTACAAATAAAATAAATGTAAAAATTAAATTCAAAAATTTTCAGTAGAGGCAAGGATAGTTAAATTCCACATAAAAGTTAATTAAAAGGTGTGGGGAGGGCCTTCAGGGCACTAACCAACCCCATGGTTGCGTGCTTCTCTGTGAAGTCTGAGAGAGTTAGCAAAGCCAGGTCTTCAGACATTTCCAAAAGACCAGACGACACTGAGGGCTTGCCTCGCTTCTTGGTAGTGAATTTGATATCAGTCTCAGATAAATGCATCACAGAAGCTGCATGATATATCTTTAAGAGAATTATTACATACTATGTCTTCATGGAAATTCTTAGTATATGGTTACCTGTTTCACATAAAGGACCACTCCATCCAGCCTTGCATTGACATTCATCTGGCGTCACACATTTCCCACCATTGTGACAATGCTTATTACAAACCACTGAAAAACAAATTAGGGCAAGGTCAATTGTACCAATTATTAGTACCTGCATTTTGCTCTAAATTATGCTGATTGAAATCCAGGGCAGCCATTGAGAGCTTCATAAGGACTATGTTATTAAAGCCAAAATTCAAATGTCATGTAAACCCTTCATTTAAAAAAAAAAAAACTGATTCACACAGAAACATCTTTTAAATCTATTGTAGATATCTTTGCAGAGAGATATTTTAAAACAATGATCAAGGACAACAGGATATTCAGTCATTGACCAAAGTTTGTAGTTAAAATAGTGTAATATATGTGTATTATTAAATTGTGACTAGTTTTAAAGGCAGATTATTTTAAAGTTATTAACATATTAGTATACATTTTGAACAATAACTCTTAATGGCAATCCCCCCCAAGTCCATTATATACTCAGTATATTAATATATTTTTCCCATGCATTGAATTTTGCAAACATTACTATAAACAATGTTTCTCTGCAACAGAGCTGTTACAAAGTAAGTGCTGAAAAAGATTGAGTACATTTTATGGTGTTAATATGCTTTTAGAAAGTACAGAATCAGATATGATGTTATTGAGCATTAAATGTATTTATTAATATTGAAATACTGACTTACATGTTGCATACTAGATGATTTAAATAATGCCAGAATTATAGTTTGTCACACAGTCAGCCAGATGCAAAGATTGGATTTAGCATTTTTATCTACCTATCGAGTCCTTCCCAATTATTATTATTATTATTATTGCTGTTGTTGTGTAAAGTTTGCTTTCTTCTTTTCTCATATTATTTATTATCTATCAAAACTTGGGAAGATTGATAAAGTTACATATGCATAATAGTATACCTACGTGTTTCACATCTTGAACCAACAAATCCATATGCACAGGAACAGATATTGTGACCGATACAGGTCCCTCCATTTTCACACAGTGGATCGCAAAGTGCTATATAAAAGAACAGAAAAATGATAACTGAATTTAGAATAAATTGGCTGTAATGAGGATCCTGTTGATCTATATTCTACCACTGACATATCTCTGCTTTGTCTATATAATACTAAAATTCTGACATCTATTTGTAACATTAATTGAGCAAAACAATACATCAAAGGTCAATAACTATTGAACCAAGATACTCAAAAAATACCCAGAATGTTGGGACCCATTCTCATGTGAAGTGAAGTTGGGATAGTTGGTGTTGCTTCAACACCACTGCCACTTACCTAGCTGCTTCCCTAGGACTTGCAATTCTGCTGGTTTCCACACATATGTTGTGCCTGCAAGCTTCCCACAGGCAAAGTAAATGGGGAAGCCAGCAGAAATTTTGGGAAGGAGGAAAGGGGATTTCCAAAGCTCACTGCTAACTTCCCACAAGGAAACTCAATAGGGAATCCAGTTACTGAGTTATTACTTCATATACTTTCACATGGAGAAGATAAGCTTTCTTCTGTGATCTTTGCCTGCCTGTTTCTTCTTGCCTGCCTCCATACTTTCCATGTGGCAATTGATTATAATGTAAGAAAGATGTATGAAAAACATCTATAAGGTTTTCTAAAAATTATAATGTAATTGGATAAATGATTTTACAACTATAAACATATTTTATTCCCTGCCCTTGACTTCTATGGGGTTTCCCCCCCAAAAAAGTTATTCTTGTTCTCATATTATAATGCCACTAGAAAACGGTAAGTAAATAACTATTCTGCAAAACCAAAACCATAACATGATACTTTGGTTGTAATGGTGATTTATTTGGAAGTAAGTCCCACTTAATTCAAAAAAAATTATTTTAGAGTAAGGATTTTTAAAAAGCTTGTAAAATGTTTTGGATTCAAAAGCAAAACAGGTTTTAACTATAGGACAATGTGAGTATAGCACTTCTTAAATCAAATTCATATTTTCCCTGAATCATACAACAACTACTCAATCCCAAGAGAAAACTTATAGATATTCCATATTCCATGTTGCTATTAGGCAGGTTAGTTATCATGTGAGTTCTATGTACTATGAAACTAAGAAACAAGACACAAATTAAATTACACACATATTTCTTGCTTCTAAACAGAGAAGTCTTTTAAATTGGTTTTTCATATGTATTTTTAAAAATAATACCATGCCATATTTACAAGTCTCTCACTTACAACTCTGAAATTTCACAAAAGCCATTGCTGCGTATTTGTATTCTTTCCCCCCCCTACATTTAAAAATATACACTCTGAAATAAGATCCATTTCAATATATGTGCATGACTGAACTTATAGTACTGGAATGAAGCAACTCATAAAAAAATTAAGCTTGTTACTTTGGATGTTTTCCAATGAAAATAAACCACTTCAGCTTCTGAATTTACTTGAATAAATAAGCTGAATTTACTTGAATAAATACATCTCATTAGAGTGTTTTATAAAATTACTGATCACAGGCACTGCTGTTGTCACAATCTCACAATTTAAAATAGATTTATATTGTATAGGAATGATACTTGGTGAATAGAAACTGAAGTAAATTATTTATCAATGTCTAGCATAAGTATTTATTTATTAGATTTTGTGTGCTGTCCATCTCGTCTGGAGGCGACTAATTGCTAAGTTTGTGCAAAGCTTTCATTCAAATATCTGATTTTAAGTCGGTTTGAGGAAATTATCTCTTTGAACTGAATAATCAAATCAGTTCTATTCACTGTCTTTCAGTCACTCAGAAGACCTGATGGACTTCTGCACATGCACATATACCCTTGAATTGAATCAACTCATCAGATTGCAAATTTGAATCAAATCTACTCTTTGCATCAAAGTACAAATTCAAACTGAATCTTAATGTATTGGCAGACATATAACTGCTGCATAATCAAGAATGTTTCATGTTTTGAGCCAGTGAAACAAGCTGTACACATTAACTGAATGGAACAATATAAGGAGTTACAATAGATTATTAGATGTTGGACAAATGGTTGCAAAATAAATTTTCCCAGTGGCTTGAGCACTATAAGTATATTCCATTACAGTATTAGAAAAGTCATATGAGGCATAGAAATGAGGAGTTCCCATTCTATTTGATGAAAACATTTCTAAGTATGCCTTAAATTGTGGCTACTGTGTTCTAGTTAGCTACTAACAGCTCCCAGTAAGTGGACACCAAAAATAAAACTGCCATTTGGGCCAGAGAGAGTGAAAATGAAACTGTGCTATCTCATCTAGCTGCTTCCGGTCATTGCTTGCCTTAGTGTTACCTGTGGAAAACAAATTCCTCACAGGATCAGTTTTTGATTAAGTGCATCAGATGCCTGGGGCTTGAAATTATCACTGCCCAGGTAACCCTTGTTTCCTTTTTGCACCACAGGTTTTTTTGTGGGTACTAGGAAAATGTGGGAGAAATACTGTTGGCTGTATGAAAAATACAGTCTCTAGGGAAAGTGAAGAACAGAAAATATTCTGGGATTGAACAAAGCAAAGCATAATATGGTAGGGAAGAACAAGTAGATTATTATAAGAAAGAATAGGAGGTTGATGATTGACTGCCCTTTTGTTCCCATTGCAGTCTATGTGAGGAAATCAAGATGGTGTAATGGTCAAGGTACCAAGCTACAAAGTAGGAGACCATGAGTTCAAGTCCCATGGAAGCCAGCTAGGTGACTTTGGGCAGTCACTCTACCTTAGCTGAAGTAATCACACAGGGTTGTTGTTGTTTAGAGGTAAAATAGGAGGAGGAAGGGTATGGGATATGTTGGGTTATTTGTAAAATAATGATACAAATGATATGTTCTTATGATGACACTCTATGATGCTCTAATATGTTCTTAGGTTATCTGGGGTTTCTTGGCCAGGAGAATTATAATGTACATGCTGAGATTGTTCAATCAAGAACAATCTGGGATTGCATGTCTTCTTTGATAGCCATGAACTAGCCATGAACTCTATTAGTAGTAGCTGGCCCAAGATATTCTGTTTGAATGGGACTGATGATCTGATAGTGCAGAATAACTATGTGAAACCAATGTTATACACAGTTTTATATGGGTTTAAATCATTGTCACAAATACCACATGAAGAGTGGTTTATATAGAGATGCACCAAAGTTACATAAGATCTTATTTATTTAATTCAATTAGCTAGGATAACTTGGGAAACATGGTTAATTGAAATGAGTAACATTTGCTCAGATGAAAGGTGTTTCTTCCTGCCCACAGGGGGCACTTCTAAGATTTCTACTGAAAAGAAAAAGTACAGCCTTGACCTGAATGATGTATCTACCAATTATGGGCCTATCTCATAAATATAATTTCTGGGAAAGATGATCAAGAATGTGATAGTCTCACCCTCCAGATGCTTATGAAGGATTCTAATTATCTGGATCTAATTCAATCACGAAGCTGCTTTGATTATTTTTGGGGAACTGCTAAGTGCCTTGGAATCCTCAAGGGTTCATTGTTGTCAGACACAGTATTCTTCTATTTCAGTTGGGGGCCTGGTCTTTGGGAACACACATTTACAATGGTTCACTCTGATGCCAGGAGTTTACATAATGGAAGTATTGCTCAACACTAGCTGTTGACCTGTGGTGTTCCACAGGATTGCATCTTATCTTGCATTTTATTCATTAAACAGCTGGAGAAGGTCACAAAGAGATTTAGAGTGTGGTGTCATCAATATTGCTCCTTATCAGTTAACTGAAAAAGCAATCAATATGTTAAACATTGCCTAAATCTGATAATTGGGAGGATAAGAGAGAACCTACTCAATTAAAACCAGAGAAACCAAGGTATTCTTGGTAAATAGGAAATGAGGTCTTGGAGATGGAGTAACTCTCCCTCTGAAAACACAAATTCCCAATATAAGAGTGCTGGCAGGCTTCTGGGCTGAATAAATTTGGTGTTGGTTCTCTTCATTGGTATTAATACTACACATTCTATTTAGGCTGGTACTATCTTTGAAAAATGTGCAGAAACATCAGCTTGTACAAATTGTAAGCTAA